GTTGTGTTGTATAGTTATATTGCCTTCTTAAAAAATTTACTATTTTATTTAGATATTTAATTTTCTCTCTCTGGCTAAAGTATATGTAGATTAATTTTTTACTTAACTTTTGGCATTGGAAACTTTTAGAGAGTTTTAGTATTACGTTCATAATCTTTAGTATTTATAGAATCTTATTCTTACATTATTTCTTTTCTTTGCAGTTTACTAGTAAAGGCAAATATTGGCGAAAGCTGGCGCTTTAAAACTATGATTAACCTCAAAATTTTAGTTCCTAAGACTAAGAATTTGCTATATTATACTACAGTGGTATCTTATTTTTTATCTATATTTTGTCTTGATTATGATTGCTTTGCTCTCTTAGATTTATGCAATTTAGTACATGATTAATGTTTGCATGTACACACACATGTGTGGTGGGGCATATCCGAAGGACAGAACCCGCGACCTATGGATCCGAAGCCGAGTAACATAACCACTATACAAAAGAGATCACCCCTGCCCGGAGGCTGTTACTGGGTTAAGGAGATACCACCACACATGTATGTATGTATATGAAGCAATTTTAATTCAAGCTTTCCGAAAGATTTCCGATTATTGATTTAAAAATGCAATTTAAACATTTTTTGAGACAATTCTGGGTAAAATCCTAGGAGAGCCCACACCCTTGGCGACAAAACGAAAAAAGCGCCAATCCAGAACGAGATGGCGCCAAGCGAAACCGACAATGGCGGCAAGTGAATACAGAGAGATAAGGTGGATGCGTAATGAAAATATTTGTAAACAATACAGAAATTAAGCATTTAAGATTAAAAAAATATAAAAACAGCACTTACTTTTGTACTGCTGATCTTTTCCGAGTGGAGGGTACAGTGCAATGACAGATTTTAAAAAAGTCTTGAAGGTCTCATCGCTAAGTGAATGATCATGTGAGCGCCGCCATTTTTATTCTGCGAGGTAATGGTCGAACATACCTTCGGCGTGGCTGGTGCAATTTCGAAGAAAGCGTTTTATTGTCGACCGCATGTTACAGCATGCCGATAGTTACATTTAGGACATTCATAACTCTAAGCAATAAATCCTTCCTTCATGCACTATTCAATCAATTCTTTCTAACCTTTTGCATTTAACAAAGTAAAAAATTCTAAGCAACCCCGCAACCATTCCAGCCTGGTTCCCCAAAACAATGAAATTCGAAATGCCCGCCGAAAAAATACGAAATTTCCAGAAATAGGTTTACCATATCTAGTGTTTCAAAGTAGGGTTACCAAGATGGCACGATTATCGCCAACCCAAAATAATTCGCGCCAAGGGTGTGGGCTGTCCTAGGACTGAACCACAATTCTGGCCATTAACTTAACTTTAATATAATTTAATTGAGTTGCCTGTAAAGATTTTCTGAAATAATTATCACAGATGAAAACGAGATATTCTGAATGGATACTTGATTGTGTAGAATTTATTGGTGTTTGGTTTAAATTACAATATCTGTAAAACGCATCATACTTAAAGATTTTTTATAAAAATGGTATAAATTCTAGTCAAAAAAAGGTCAAAAAAAGAATAATGACTGTAACAATCAACAACAATTTCTGAAGTTATTCAAAGTGGTAAGATTTTTAAAATAACGTATCATAAAATTCCGGTTGACTGGAAAACATTTTATCTACAACTATAAAGAGAGAAAAAATAATTACAAGCAATTGTTTTTTTAAAAAAGGGGAATGAAGGAAAGTGCACAGATGTAAGTGGTTTATTCCATGAAAAAAATGACGCTTATATGTTCAAGTCATTAAGGTATCCGACTAAGTTTGCATCCGTGATTTTAAAAAAGCACATAAATGGATAATATTCATGATATTTAGTGTCACTTAGATTAGAATACATGTATAAAATTGTTTTAGGGACATTATGACAAAAAAATATATTTAAATACAATATTTTGGCAAAAAATTAACTTAGAATAACCTTTTTTCAAAAAACGTTTTCTCCTTTTATAAAAAAATACTTCTCTAATAATAATATTTTGTGCTCATATAAAGTAAAGACTACTCCAGAGATTCTGAACTAAGAATTTTGAAAATTTCACGTTATATTTTCAGAGTTACCACCAATTAAAATATATATATGTAATTATCGGCGTTTTTTCCTTAAAATTTCTCCTCTCTGTTGCAGTAAAATATGGATAAACCCATTTCTAAGTTATATATTTCAAAAATTCTAGTTGAGCCTCTGTACTCTGCAGGTCTGAGCTATATACAGGCAAAATATTATTATAATAGAAGCATTTTTCATAAAAGGAGATTTTTTTGAAAATGGTCATTCTATGTTCGTTTTTTGTCAAAATATTGTAAATAATTTTTTATTGTTATAATATTCTTAAAACAATTTTATATACGTTTTCTAATCTAAGTAGCACTAAATATCATAAATATTATCTATTTATACGCTTTTGCAAAATCGTGGTTCCGAACATAGTCGGATACCTTAATCAAATATGCAAAATACCTGTATTGGCTCATGTGTAGAATATTATTCAAATTCTTCTAAACTGAAACTGAATTACTTAAAAAAGCACAAATCAATAAAATAAGGAAATTTTTCTTACAGTAATTGCTTAGAATTCTCTAAATCCTTTAAAATAAAAGATCACGCCCAATCAAGTTCATATTCTCTTTTTTTCTGTTTTTTTTTTTTTTCAGTTCCTACTATTATTTCACACTCTTCCTATATATATATATATATATAGGAAGAGTGTGAATTATATATATATTGAAAATTTGAATTATATATATATATATATATATATATATATATAATTCAAATTTTCAATTGTAATAAAATACTTTTTATTAACATACATTTTTTTACATTTAATACATTTTAATACATTTTTTTAAACTTGTAGTGGATGACACTTGATTTTAATACAATTTCTTCAAATATTTTAATTCATGAATTAATTTAAAAAATGAATAAATAGAAACAAATAAAAATAATAGTCCAACAGTATATATAGAAAGGAAAATCGTTCGTTGTATCCCAGTAGCGTAATGAATAGCGCGTTAGAATTCTAATATAAAGGGCTTAGGTTCGAACCCCACCTGGGATGGCTTAATTTCTGAGAATGTGTCTTCTGTTTACTATACTATTTTATTGAAATAATTAAATTTAATTAGTGAGAGAATAAATAGTAACAAACAAAAATAATAGTCCTCCCTATATAGAAAGAAAAATGGAAAATTGCAAGGAAAATCGCTTTCTATTTTGTCACTTTATATTGTTATCTTTTCATATGTATATACATATTTATATTAATTGTAATTATTTAATAAAAAGTAACTAAAATAAAAAATTTCCTTTGTTGACCTAAGTAAAAACTGACTTATTACATTTTTTTTATATTTGTTTCTAATAGACTGAATATTGGCAACTAAACCTATGAAGACATAGCAAGTCCCCAAATGTGAGACCCATTTCATTATGGCATCATCTAATAGCAGCCCTCGTTTCCAAATTTTGACGCTTTAATTAATTTAATCTAAGCTCTGTTCGGATGTTTGATATTTCTGTGAACAAATTGTGCGAGAGTACCAGAGCCAAATTGAAACTCAAGGGATCTTTTAAAGCTCACATAATCATATCGCAATCGTGCTTATGATTTTCTCATCCAGAACATTTATTGATGCTAGTCGGGATCGAACCCGCAACATATCCTCTTTCTAAATCATTTAGCTATACATTATATAAATAGAATTGTACAAGCATATGCAAGAAAAAATTCTTAGAGATTCCTTTACTTTATTTTAAAGTCATTCGAAAACAAAACTTTTATTAAATAGTACCCATAGATAGCTTAACTTCTCTCATTAGCATTCATTCGTTATTGTCTAGGTATTGACCGTGATACTGATCCGGATACAAATACCTGCATCAGAGGTGGCGAACCTTTATGGATCAACGTGCCATTTTTTCTAAAGAAGTGCTTGATGAGATACAGACGTGCCTTCAAAAAATTTGGACTTGTGATTAGTGCAAAAGTAATAAAACTAAATACTAACAACACAAAACTGTATTTACTGCGAAAAAATATCTTTTGTACTGTATAGTTATAAATGTTTTAGTTAAACGTTTAATTCAAATTATTTAAGGTAACATCAGTGTGATTTCTGCTGCTGCAGATTAGATGACAAATAGCTTATATTAAGAATGTAAAATGTTACTTTTAGTAGAATGCATGCTAAATTTGAGTCATCCGCCAAACGATTTTTAAGTAATTAATTATATTTTTGCAGTGGCTCAATTTTTTGACAAGAGGATTTATGATTTGTTTAAAAATGCCGTTTTACAGACGATGTTCTGCATACTAGTGTTCCAGAACATAAAACACACACGGCTCTCTCGCCTTTACTAATAATGCCATGTTTCTTGGTCCACCAAATTTGAAATTCTCTGTTACCTTAACTGTCTTGCGCTTTTTGTTCTTTTGCTGAACTAGCGATGTTAAATAACAGTTAAAAATCGTAAATATAACACAGATAAACTTAAAAATACAGTTTTGTCAATGGAGTTGACTATGCTATTTGCGTAGACAAACTTTACATCGTAAGCAATTGTAGTCTGCGGCATTACTAAGGCAAGGCAATAACGTACGAGTGTGCTCTCCACCACCCCGCGACCGAATACTCGCGTTTGTTCGTAACAATTCATAGTGAACTTTGAAATTTTGAAATAGAATGCTAACTGTTTTGATCACCGGCATGACAAAAATATTCTTTCGCGTGCCATCAATTGCACGCGTGCCACTGGTTCACCATCCCTAACCTACATAATTGGGCAAGACAGATATGCATTCACTTTTGTTGAACATTTTGTTGCATTCACTTTTGTTTAATCCTCATTTTTGAAAATACACTAAATAATGTTTTTCTGCTTTTAATACAATTTAAATTTTTACTCAAAATAAATTAGAAGCAATTTTACTACTCTAACTATGGTACCAGTATGCATTATTCATAAGTAAAAATGTTAACTCTACACTTTATGACAACCGATTAGCGGTTTTTGGTGTTTGGGGTTTCGAATAAAGATCAGCCATAACAAGTTTTAAATTCAAATTTATTATCCCTTGGACTTAAACCACACAACTAAAGGTAGGAAATGCACTCAGTAACTAATTAGAAGAGAAATCGCACGGCTTAAGGTTACTTAACATATGAGTATAATTTACTCCACTTACTCTTAGAACACTCTGGACTTCCCCTCTATAATTCACCTTAAATCTCTTCCTTAATTGTACGAACTCAGGTCGTAAATCAAAGCTCAATTTTATCACTTATTCTCCAATTATCAATAATCGACCATCCAGCGTCTATCCATCGACTAACCTCGCGTACCTAATATGTCAACGCTTAAATAGAACCACTCATTTGGATAAATAGTCTTCTTCTTCAAGAGAAAGTTTTCAATAGAACATACAATTAAAAAGAATAAATTTACCCGAAATGGATTAGTAAAAGGAGAGACCCGTTACACAATGTCTCTAAATGTAAATTACGATAACAAAAGAACATTTTTGAAAATTCTACTCATAACTTCGAAACTTTACCCTCATATTAATTCTAAACAAACAAATATTTTAATGTGAGATTTTTCAAAATTACTCAAAAAATTTTATGATGTAAAATTTACATGAATTTGTATCGTTTAGAAGCATTTCTTATGTTATTCCACTTATGAATTTAAGAAGAAACACTCAATTTTTTTTAAATGCTTTTATATTTCATTGTTACTATATAAATTATAGTAACAATGCAAGTAAATAAATTAATGACTATACTACCAATCGATTCTTAAAAATGTTCCTTAAAGTATCCGACTACTTTCGGAATCGTGATTTTAAAAAAGCGCTTAAGTGGATAATTTTCATGATATTCAGTATCACTTAGATTAGAATACATGTATAAAAGTGTTTTAAGGACATTTTGACGAAAACAAATTATTTAAATACAATATTTTGGCAAAAAATTAACTTAGAATAACCTTTTTTCAAAATGTTCTCCTTTTGTGAAAAATGCATCTATTATAATAATATTTTGCCTGTATATAACTCAGACCTCTGTACAGAGGCTCAACTATAATATTTGAAAAATTCCCATTATTTTCAGAGTTACAACAAATTAAAATACTTATCGGCGTTTTTTTCTTAAAATTTCTCTCCTCTGTTGTCGTAAAACATGGATAAACCCACTACTAAGTTATACATTTCAAAAATTCTAGTTGAGCCTCTGTAGAGAGGTCTGAATATACGGGCAAAATATTATTATAATAGAAGCATTTTGCACAAAAGGAGAACATTTTGAAAATGGGTCATTCTATGTTCATTTTTTGTCAAAATATTGTTCTTAAATAATTTTTTATTGTAATACTATTCCTAAAACAATTTTTTATATATTTTCTAATCTAAGTGACACTAAATATCATAAATATTATCCATTTATACGCTTTTCCAAAATCACGGTTCCGAACGTAGTCGGATACCTTAAATTTTATGGAGATGGAAAAATTGCTGCGCAAAGTGACCCCCCTTAACAAGCTTATCTTTGCATTTATAAGCATAGGTCAGTGGCGTAATGTACACCCCCGCAACCCACGCAACGCGAGGGGGCCCAAAGCCCGACTGTCGCAAAGTAGTACGTATTTAACCAATTTATAAAATATTAAAGGCAAATCCTGACTTTGCAGGGGGCTCTAATATTCTCCGTTGCGCCACTGGTACATGTACTGTGTTAAGTCTTAAGTGCTCATAACTGGATTTTTGCTTATGTTAGAGTGAAGATAAAGGAATTTTTAAGGATAAGATTTCACACACACACATATTTTAACAAAATTATTTCACTAACTTGCAAATAACAGCAGTAAATACGAGCTTTTTAAACATGGGTTTTCTTTCAAACTTCACATTTTGCGTAACATAATTTTTTTTCATCTTAAATTTTGTGAGCGAAAGGGAATGTTGAGTCAAATTGAATTTATTCAATAATTAGTTTTAATAATACGTAAATAGTAATTAATGAGAAAATTTAATTCTTTAAATAATTAGTTTGAATAAATTAAGTTTTATTAACTATAGTTAAATTATCGTATTGCCATTCAAAACAATCGTGAATAGAAAATTTCGGTTTGATTGCGCGCCTTGAAAAGCGAGAAAAAACATTTTAAAGTTTTAACTCAATTCGCCAAGATGATCGCCAAGTTACTAAAATTTGGTCACCAAACATGATGTCAAGGTGGCTGTGTGTACCTGTAATTCTTTAAATAATTAGTTTCAATCAATTAATTGTATAATTATAATTAAATTGTCGTATTGTCATTTAAAACAGCCGTGTATAGACACCTTTTGCTGAATTAAGCATTATAAAAGATGAGATAGTCAATTCCTACATAGGTCAACAAAGCAAAATTTTGTTTTAGTTACTTTTTATTAAATAATTACAATTAATATAAATATGTATACACATATGACAGAATCACAGTATTGAGTGGCAATTAATTTTTATTAATTATCATTAAAGTATCATATTATCATCCAAAACAATCATGTATATAAAATTTCAGTTCAACTGAATGCTTTAAAAGGTGAGAAAAAAAATCTTTTAAAGTTTTAACCCAAGTCGCTAAAAATGAGGCCAACGTGGCTGTATCTGTAATTCTTTAAATAATTAGTTTCAGTCAATTATAATTAAATTATCGTATTTTTACCCAAAACAATAGTGTATAGAAAATTGCAGCTCAATTGAGAACTTTAAAATGTATTTTATTAACGATTGAAAATTTGAACAAGATATATATATAGGGAGATTGTGAACTAATAGTAAAAATCAAAAAATATATTGTGTCTTAAATTTTAAATGTCCTACATATATCAATTAATCCTTCTCCATCATGTTTCGTGGTTAATTTAAATATGCAAAAGTTGTTATTCGTTGACTTTCGCTCTCAGGTATTGTTTGTCTCTTGGTGGTATTCCACAACAGGGTCAACCACCAACCGGTCTCTTTCACTTCGTTCATTAACACATCTTCTCTAATGACTTTTGTATCAAAAAGGTAC